CCTGGGGGCAGGCATATTACTATCAGTTCAAAGAACTTCACAGAATCGATTCTCAAGGCATAGGGCCTCTCTCCGCTACTGCCCGCTGTACGAATTTGTGGACAGGTCCCCGACAGCAGTTGCCTGTCGGTGAGTTCAACATCCGGAAAACACTGCATCGCGCCACTTACTTTCCACTGTACACCTCTCAAATTTGTGGGTTCACTACTAGACGGAGTGATAGAACTACAAGACAGGGCGTCCGTAGGGTTTTGTCCGCCCAGAGACTCCAGGTGCACTCTCCAAATTCAGGTCCTCACGGTGAGTCCCTTGAAGGACTTTCCGGGGTGCAGGCTGGGATCTGTACATTCACGGACAGTCGATTTTCCACGGTTTTTTTTTTTACCACAGTCCAAGCCATTGTGCACATGTACAGCGGACAGGAAGTGGAGCGACGTCCGATTGTCCGTTTTTGTACGTTGGACTGTAGTGGAGCGAGGTCGATATTCACACTAGCACTATCTTTTTGTTTGGTTACTTGCACTAGCACTATGTTAAATGTACCTGACCGCGATTAGGGCCAGACCTGGATGTATCTGACCGCAATTAGGGCCAGACCTGGATGTACCTGACAGCAATTACGTCCAGAAATGAGTTGCAAAGTCCGAGTGTGAGTATCCCCTTAGCGTGGTTGTTCAGCGGAAAGAAATGCGCATAGTATAGTTGTTCATTTGCTAGACTGGGTGAAAAAAAAAGAAAAGAAAAAAAAAGAGAGTGTTTCGCCACCCCACAATAGGAGATTAACAGAACGAACGATTAAATAAAAAGGAGTAAAATAAAAGAAAATAAAACTGGTCTGTTTTTCCGCGTGCACAGGCACAAAATTTATGGATGTACTCACTCTCAGATCTGGCAGGACGGGCAGGACCTCCGTGTGGGGTCCCAGGCAGCCCCAGCGCAAAGACAAAAAAAAAGATAAAAAATACATGGGGGCGAGAAAATGTAGTGTAGATTCCGCCGTAGAATATTTTATTTTTATTTTTTTCACACAACACACACAGCCCCTTCTATTATGGGGGCCACCAGTCCGGTTGCTCATCCCCGGCATAGGTGGGGAGGTGATGATCGCAGGAGTGGGCAATCGAGAGAGTCTCCTTGGTACCCAGGCATTGCCCCCTCTTCTGTTATCAGGTCCCTACCAATTACTGTCCGTAACCCGTCAACGCTTTCCCTCCTTCCCCT